AACAGACCTGCTCTCCTGGAGGCCAAGACCCTTTCCTTGTTTAACTCCTCTCGCCTGCTGTGTAGCCTTAGGCAACTTATATCACCTGTCTGGGCTTCCATTTCCTCTTCTTTAAAATGGGGATGGTCCTAATAAGTGCAGCTTCAGGTCTGGGGAGGAGTGACGCCTGTCTAATCTCCACACTCCCACGGTGGTGTTTTGCACACACCTATAAGCAATGGCACCTGTTTGCAGAGGCAGGGAGGTGGCTGGCAGATGCTCCTGACTGTGGAATCAAAAGTCAGCTCTCTGAGCCCGGTTTCTTCATCTGTGAAGTGGGGACAATCGCCTCTGCTTTATGATGTTGCAGGTGACATTGAGTGACAGATATGAAAGCATCTGTGGCCTTCAGTGGCTGCATCTGGGTGTGGTTTCATCAGCTTCATTCAGTCACCCCATACGATGTTCCAGAGGCCTCACTTTCATGCTCCCTTCGTTCCCGCCTGCATCAGTTTCCTGGAGCTGCCTTAACAGAGTACTACAAATGGGGGGGGGGGGCTTAAAACAACAAAAATGGATTGTCTCGCAGTTCTGGAGGCCGCAACCAAGGTGTAGGCAAGGCCAAGCTCTCTCTGAGGCTGCAGGGGGCCCTCCTGCCTCTCCCGGCTTCTGGTGTTTCGCCGGCAGTCCATGGCATTCCTTGGCATGCAGCTGCGAAACCCAACCCCTGCCCTCATCGTCACATGGCTCCTCCCTGTGGGTGTCTGTCCGCACATGGCCATCTTCTCACAAGGACCCCGTCATCGTGGATTAGGGCCCCACCTACTCCACTTCATCCTCACTAACTATACCTGCAATGACCCTATTTCCAGCTACAGTCACATTCTGAGGTACTGAGGGTTAGGGCTTCAACATGGCTTTATTGGGGGGACACAATTCAACCCATAATGCCATCCTAATGGTTTGTCGTCTTGGTCTTCTTTGAGGCTTTTTAAATGCATCAAAGGTCACCTTGGCCAGGTGGGCCAGTTGGTTGGAGCGTTCTCCCATGCATCGAAAGGTTGTGGGTTTGATTCCTGGTCAGGGCACATACCTAGTTTGCGGGTTCGATACCCAGTTGGGGTGAGTGTGGGAGACATCAGTGTTTCTCTCTCTCTCTCTCTAAAAAAAAAAAGAGAAAAAAACAAAAAAAAATCCTCAGGTGAGGGAAAAAAACCATGAAATCTTTAAAAAATAAATTAAAACATAAATGCATCAAAGGGTGTTTTAAAATACCAGCTGCCCTTGGGTTGCATGGAGAAGCAGGAGTGGTCACCCCGCCAGCCTGGCTCGCTGGGCCTGGCTCAGCCAGCACCTGGCTCGGGAGGGCCCCAGCGGAGGAGGTCCTGCCGAGACTGCCGACAGGGGTCAGGGCAGTGGGACAGGGTCTTCATGGCTCCCAGACACCCCTAATACTTCAGGTAGCAGAGGTCACTGACCGGTCAACACGCAGGCCCATTATCGCTGCGGCGGGGCTGGGCTGGGTCACGCACCGCTCAGCACCCGGGAGCCACCTGGGAGCCACCTGGGAGCCACCTGGCTTTCTCCGTGTCCAGCCCAGCCCCGCAGTTCCGAGGAGGCAGGCAGCGTACCCGGCCTCACCGGGAACAGGCGGCAGCGCAGGCCCGGGTCACGACTTCAGGTTTAAGCAGCGAGTCTGGCGCCCGCGGTTTCCGTGCCCTGACCCGGCCGAGACCGGGAGGGCGGGAGAGTGGGCCGCGGCCTCTGCCGCAAGTTGCCGCTCCCGCGTCGGCCAGCAGGGGGCAG